CGCACGCTGTCCTGCACTGCCTGCACGTGCCCTGCACACGCTGCATCTGGTGCTCAGCTGCTGCTGCCACCCACGCTGCGCCGCCCTGCCCTGTCGCGCCGCGCCGCCCTGCCCGAGCTGCGCCGCGCCGCCCAGCCAAGCCGCGCCGCCCTGCCAAACCGCCCATCCGAGCCGCCCTGCCTAACTGCCCAGCCGAGCTGCTTTTGCTACCGTACCTGTTTGCTACTACTGTTGTTGCTACTGCTGCTACTACTGCTACTAATTCTGCTGCTGTTGCCACTGCTACTGCCCAGTATGGCTACACTTAATGTCCTTACCTTTGACGCGGAGGGTCGCCCGATTAGGTTTGACTATTGGCTCGAGGATCTCTAGCTGTACCTGCAGAGCATGGCTAGGGAGGATGTTTCACTGTTAGAGCACACGACCGGTTCTTGCCTTGCCCCCGAGGAGTCAGCTGATCGTGTTCTTTGTACTCAGTGGCTCACGCGCGATGCTGTTGCCCGCCTTTCTGTCCGCAATGCCCTCCCGCTAGACTAACGGGTCCATTTTGGCCAGCTTAAGACGGAGAAGGAACTCTATGACGCCGTAGTTGCTCGTTACTCCTCCCCCTCTACTGCTGCCCTAGGCAGGATCATACTGCCGTACCTTTTTCCTGAGCTGTCGGACTTCCACACTGTCACTGACCTCATGACCCACCTTCGCTCTAGTGACGCTCGCTACCGCGCCGCTCTCAAGCCAGCCTTTTTGATTGCGAACCAGCCCCCGATGTACATCACTATTTACTACCTCGTTACTCGCCTCCCTGACTCCCTCCGAGCCGTTAGGTATCACTTCCTCACTCTTGACCCCACTGAGATCACGCTTGCCTTGCTGGAGAAGCATCTCCTCAAGGCTGAGACCAGTATTGTTGCTGTAGCTGCCTCTCGTGGCACTCCCCGCTCCCCCCTCTTTGAGGGATGTTCTCCCTCCCTTCTCGTGCCCTCAGTTGCTACTGCTGATGCTGTTGACTTCCTTCGTACCGAGGAGGTCGGTGCTGCGTCTGCTCATAGTTGGATGCGCCGCAGCGGCAAGGGCAAGGGGGGTAAGGGTGGTGGGGGTGGCGCTAGCGGGGGTGGTGGCGGGGGTGGTGGCGGTGGTGGTGGCGGGGGCGGAGGCCGTGGTGGCGGCAGTGGAGGTGGCGGGGGTGGTGGAGGCGGGTGGAGTGGGCGGAGGGGGCTCGGGTGGCGGTCGGGGTGGAGCTGGCAAGGGCAGAGGCTACGGGGCGGCGACTGGCATAGTGCAAATGCAGGACTTGAAGGTCCTGCTGAAACCATGCACTCAGCTGGCGACGAACAGTGCGGATCCAGGGGATCAAAACACCGCGGACATCCACCTTGCTTTGCAAGGGGAAGACCGTGGTGTACCGTGTGTAGTCGTCAACAACCAGCAGGAAGTAGCGCTCGTGGTCCTGTCCATGGACGCGGGCGTGGCCCCACACGTCCATGTGAAGAGTCTGCAGAGGAGCAGTGGTCGGAGGAAACGAGGAGTGAGGAGCGGCGCGCTGCCGCCCCTCGACGCAGGGAAGGTACGGTGGCGCAAGCGACCGCGGGAGAGGGGGCAGGGACCTAGGGAGGCCAGAGACAAGGAGACGGGAGTGCATGCTACGCAGACGCGGTAGGGAGGGGTGACCCAGACGGTGGTGCCAGAGGAGAGACGGGTGCCTGAGTAACCGACACGAGCAAGACGCAGCTACCTGACCGGACGTAGCTACCGGTGCGGACCCAGTGGTCATTGTGAACAGGCTAGACCCGGGTCTCCGAGTGAACGTGGCGAGGTGGGCGCCAGTCCGTGAGTCCGTGCAGATCGCCACAAGCTCACCCCCAGGAGTAGTCACAGTGACAGACTGGTCCTGGAGGACAGCGTTACTCACCAAGTTCATAGTGAACGAGGGGAGGTAGAGACCTGCAAGCGAGCCGGAAGGGGCTGCCCGACACGAGAGAATGGTGGAGGCACGTGCTACTACTGGGCCCCCAGTGGAGTCAGCCAGAGTGGGCGGGACAGGTGTAGTGAGCGGTGTGACTATGGTGCAGTCACGAAAGAAGCAGCGAGACGCGCCTGAGTCAAGTGTGAAGGTGTGCAGAGCCTCTACAGGGGCTGCACCTGTGCTAGCAGGCTCACAGACACCTAGACTAGTAGCCTCTAAACCACCAGGGACGCGTCGTCGAGAAACCCACTCCCGAAGTTGTTGCGGCAAGAGGGTCTTCGGCTGGCGCTGCTGCCACTACTGTCCACCCCCAGAACCTCCGCCTCCACCAGCGGCACCACTAGTAGGAGCAGACGTACAGGTTCCTACACGCGCCTCCTTGACCAGTTGCTGCACCTCCCCTAACAACGGGCGGTGCTGCCGTAGTGGCCGGGTGTCAGGGGAGAGGGAGGAGTAGTGTCTAACCACAGCGACGTACCCCACTCTACTGGGACAGCCAGGGTGTCATTGCACTTGCTAAGAACCCTGTATTGCACGGCCTCACCAAGCACATGAGGGTGAAATGGCATTGGACGAGGAGCATGGTGGCCGCGGGTGAAGTTGAATTGCACTACGTGAAGACGACGGGACAGCCAGCTGACATGATGACCAAGAGGCGCTGACTCTCGTCATTGCATTTGCCAGCCAGTTGCACCCACATTACAAGCCCCTCGAGCAAATTGCAGTGGTTATGAACCAATACGAACCACAGAAACCGAAGTCAAACAGAAGAGACTGAAGTCAAACTGTCAACGGGGAGTTACAAAAAAAAATATAAGACCTTTTTTGCTAGGTGCGACGTTGACGAAATTTGCGAAATGCCCAGAATCACTTAAAAGCCCCCTTCACAAGGCAACCTTGGGTCAGAGCATGTTCCTACGGCCTCTAGTCAGGCTGGGCCCTTGTCAGACTTGGTCATTCGAGCGATTTCGTTATTAATACCGTTTTTCATACTTCAAAACAAACGGTGCTGCACGATGAATTGGTCACGCGAAACCTATCAGACGTGCTGTTTCGGCGAGCCAGGTCAGTTATTCGCGCAGCCACCAAGCGCACGTTTCGGTCGTTTGTGATTTGTCAGGACTCAGGAAACAATTGTACCTTTGCTATCTTTCGGAACGGGAGCGCTGCGCAATGTCCTGTCACCCCACTCATTGTGTCGCGCACTTCACCAAACAACGGAAAGAAATAAATAAAAATTAGGGTTAAGCCGAAATATTAATGTTTGAGGCGAGTCTGACAAGAGGCCAGCCTGACTAGAGGCCGTAGGAACATGCTCCTAGTCAAACGAGCATCGTGTGTAGCTGACTGGGCCCGTTTGACTCGTCAACTTACTGGCTCGACAGCAGTACAGAGAATTCAAGAGAATGCTGCATCTGTGGCGCATATGCTATAAGCAATGCGTTTAGACCCTGAAACCAATGAAGTGCAATATACAACATACAAGTTCAGCTCCCATGTATAGTGAATAGTTCACCATGTTTCATGATGCATTATTGATAAATACCAAAATAACTGTTTTTTTGGATGTTTATTCTGCGAATTGACATAATGCTGAATCTACTTTCAGCGACTTCAGTTAATATGCGTTGCATAGAAATAATGGCATACGTTTATGGTGTAATTATCAAGTTTGAATCATTGGGTGCAGGGGGTTTGGCTGGGCAGCTTCGTTGAAGGGGCTCCAGCCAACCAGGAGGCCTGCTGACATTTTGCAGACTATTGCTGATCTGGTGCTTGCGTCACATGGGCTCTCGCATCCACGTCATCCGCCGACTTGACCAAAGGGAATTGTTTCCTGCCAACAAACTGCTCCTCTCCTGTGGCCCTGAATCTGAAGTGACAAGCTTCATGGTGCAATGCTGTTTGTACTTCACTTCGGAGCCATAATTGCAGCTTGTTCTGATTCACAGGCGCCAAGTCTTCCGGAGACTCGTTTTGTGACAGACCATGGGGCTTGCGCGAGCTTGATTGGGCCTTTTTAGCCTAGGACCGGCGAGTTTCTCATACAGTCTCCTGTCAGGCGACAATAACATCACTCGTCACATACATTTTCGCTCCGTGCTTCCACCGCTCGTTCACAGCTGCGTCGTTCATTGTAGCGCACTCACAACTGCTTGAAGCCGCATTGCGAATTCGCATTATACAGAGATGCCATCGCATCACATCCATTCCGCTATTATAAACGTTTTTTTTAGCTAACTGGTTGGTGAAGCTCGTAATCTCTGGACGCCCCTGACGTGCGCTCGCGTCTTCCCACGGTCATCCATCGACCCGTTACCATCATGCCGCTCGTTAGGATAGGCTGCGGGCCACGCGGAACATCGTCGCCTGAATCTTGAAGCTGCTAGATCAGCCGTTGGATCTTGGATCACCGCAAGAGGGATCGGTTATCGATTGGAGCAACAGGCGGGAACTGGGTGCCACCGCAGGACTGTAAGCCGATTAAGAGCTGCATTCAAAACAGGCATGTCTAGATTCCGAAGAATAACTAGGCTAATAACGGGGATAACGTTCCCCCCGAGGTTGATTCTCGCCGACCAAAGAGCCATAGCCAGACCAGAAGCAGTGCAAGAATGGGGTCAACAAGTAGCATGTACAGTGCGACATACGACTAACTTAGTACCGGCAAGGTTGTCTGACTGTAGAACAAGCGCAGCAGTAGTTGTACCGGAGTGTGCTCTTAACGGATTTAGTCAGCGGTGGTCTTATAACGGGTTCATTCAACGGAGATTCTGGAGCTCGGCAGCGTCGACTGGCGATGCTCTTCCGGCCTCAGCTCCTGAAGGTATGACGCCCATGATGGATGAATCTCTAACGGATACATGAGGCCCACGCATTTCCACTTTCAGCCGTTCCTTATTGAAGGGAGAAGCGCCATTGACACGATTCAAGAAGCAGCACATTCTGAAAGGACACTACACGACACGCAAAATGAGATTTTCGAAGAAAAAAAAACATGTGAGGACACACATTGTCATGTAACCCGACCTAGCAGTCAAGGTATTCCGAGCGGGTCCGCAAGGCGAGTACGAGCGGCGAAAGCAGCTGGGGGAGCTGCGAACGGGCGACCCGTTTCAGGACGAAACCGTGGGGACGCTGCAGAAGCTGTACGACGTGCTCATCGGATTCGGAGGCCACCCCGAGTTCCAACTCCAAAAGTAAGCATCTTCCTTTTTCCATCCCACCTATTTATGAGAAAGCCGCAGAGCCATTTCTTGATGAGGGGTTTTGCCTGAAGGTCTCAAATACATCTCTGAATTCCCCCCATCCATCCGTCCCCATTCACTACCAACCCTCGGGCAGGAGGAAGCGGCGGCCGGCTTTCTGGTCGCTGTTTATGCGCAAGCCGCAGAGCCACCCGCCCATGAGAGGGCTGTACCTGTGGGGTGGCGTGGGCACGGGCAAGACCATGATGATGGACCTCTTCTTCCACGAGCTGTGAGTCTTACACGTGATGTGAGTGCTGAAACAGTCTGTGAGTGTTGGAAGAGTATGTGAGTGTTGAGACAGTCTGTGAGTGTTGAGACAGTCTGTGAGTGTTGAGACAGTCTGTGAGTGTTGAGACAGTCTGTGAGTGTTGAGACAGTCTGTGAGTGTTGAAAGAGTAGTGAGTGTTGAGACAGTCTGTGAGTGTTGAGACAGTCTGTGAGTGTTGAGACAGTCTGTGAGTGTTGAGACAGTCTGTGAGTGTTGAGACAGTCTGTGAGTGTTGAAAGAGTAGTGAGTGTTGAGACAGTCTGTGAGTGTTGAGACAGTCTGTGAGTGTTGAGACAGTCTGTGAGTGTTGAGACAGTCTGTGAGTGTTGAGACAGTCTGTGAGTGTTGAGACAGTCTGTGAGTGTTGAGACAGTCTGTGAGTGTTGAGACAGTTTGTGAGTGTTGAGACAGTCTGTGAGTGTTGAGACAGTTTGTGAGTGCTGAGACAGTCTGTGAGTGTTGAGACAGTCTGTGAGTGCTGAAACAGTCTGTGAGTGCTGAAACAGTCTGTGAGTGTTGATAGAGCCATAAACAGCCCTCTCTCAGAAAGGCAGCACCTCCCCTGTGGGGCGGCGTGGGCACGGGCAAGACCATGATGATGGACCTCGTCTTCCACGACCTGTTAGCACACCTGTGTTGAGCATCCTTTTATTTTGCGCCTGTGTAGTTCCCATTGTTCACACTGTTCTAACTGCTCTCACTGCTCTCACTGCTCTCACTGCGCTCACTGCTCTCACTGCTCTCACTGCGCTCACTGCTCTCACTGCTTTCACTGCTCACATTGCTTTCATTGCTCTCTGAGTAGCCTAGTTAATTTAGTTCACTATTCTTTCTTCCTGCCTCTCTCCTGTCTTCAGCCCCGAGTGGATCACCAAGTCGAGGATTCACTACCACGACTTCATGCTCTCAGTGCACTCCAGACTACAGGCAAGTCTTGCCACGTAGGCAGTGTGGCCACGAGGCACTTTGACCACGTAGGCAGCGTTGCCACATAGGTAGCCCCGTGCAGAGTTTTCTGTATTTCTTAGAATGAGGGTTTGCTGCTTTCTTTTGAAAAACTTTTGTTGTTGCCTCTAGAATTTGTTTCTGCGAGGAGAGGAAGCTCCATGTCCTGCTCTTTGGCCTCTCCCTCCCCTCTCCTCGCAGAAACACGTTTTGAAAAAGGCACGTCTGACCCCTTGGAGGATTATTGCTAGCGAGATTACTGCTGAAACAGGAGTCTGCTTTTGAGGCGCCTCAATAACAGGAATTTCTTCCTCTCCCCCCAATTCCGTCTTACCTTCTAGCAGAAGCACAAGGGCACGTCCAGTCCAACGTTGCAAAAGGAATCACCTCTGAAACGGGAGTCTTTTTTAAGGCGCCCAAATTTTAAGCCTTCGCCTGCTCTCCCCCCAACTCAACTCCATCTTGCCTCCTAGCAGAAGCACAAGGGCACTTCTGATCCCCTGGAGGTTGTGGCTACCGAGATTACCTCTGAAACCAGTGCCCTTTTAAAAGGCGACCCAATGACAGGCTTTTTCCTGTTCTGCCCTCTTTTCATTCTCCTCTCCTAGCAGAAGCACAAGGGCACTTCTGATCCCCTGGAGGTTGTCGCAACTGAAATCACGTCTGAAACGAGAGTTCTGTGCTTGGATGAGTTCATGGTGCGTGCAACACAGAATGACAGAAAATGACAAGTGCTCGTCTTGCCACTTGAAAATTGTGGCGAACGAGATCACCTCGAAACAGGAGTTTTATGTCTGGGTGATTTCATAATGCATGCAGCATGGGGTTGTTTTTTGCGTTGGCTAAAGTCACAACGGCACATCTGACCTCTTGGGGGTGATGGTTAACGAAATTACCTTTGTAACGAATGCTTTGTGCTTGGATGAGTTTATGGTGTGGTGAGTGGAGCGCAAAGCAGTAACATTATGAAAAGCATGGATGAATTCATGTTTGAATATTCTCGTAGAAATGCTGATGGGTAACTTGTTGTTGTGAATGTCCTGTGAGGTGAGCTCCTGCTGTTGTCATGCTTGCGGCTTGCCATTTCTTTCCTTCTCTGCATGCCTTTACCACCTTACACTCCTCCAATCTTTCTCACTTCCTCCATATCTCTCCCTGCCTCTCTGACCCGCACTGCAACCCTCCCAACCCCTCCAACAACCACTTGTCAGGTAACAGACGTTGCAGATGCCATGATTCTCAACCGCCTCTTCAAGCATTTATTCGACAGAGGACTGGTGAGAGGCCTTGGGAAGTAGCTACCTCTCCTCCTAACTCTTTTCTCCTAGCTATTTTCCTTGCTAGCGATACTGATGTCTTGATGCCATGATCCTCAACCGCCTTCTCAAGCACCTGCTTGACAGACGACTGGCGAGTTACGTCCTTCTTCCATATCAGCCCAGGTTTGAGATGTGTCATAACCTTTTCCCGCACTACCAGTACCCTCGTGTCTTTTCCGTCATGACTTTTGAGTCGACTCAAAAGTCAACTCAAAAATGACTTTTGAGTCGACTCAAAATGTGTCATAACCTTTTCCCGCACTACCAGTACCCTCGTGTCTTTCCCGTCATCCCACTCGTATCCATGATCTCCAGGTGCTCCTAGCAACATCCAATCCAACTGCCCCCCAATACGCCTCTACGAGGCTCCAACAGGACCAAGCACTGAGGCGTTGCATAGCTTCATCCATACTTTATCCATGCATCAACACCTGTCATTTCTCCAGGTGCTCGTGGCAACATCCAACCGCCCCCCAATACGCCTCTACGAGAACGGGCTTCAACGCGACCTCTTCCTCCCCTTCATCGCTCTCCTCCAGGTGGGCCCCAGCTCCCTCTCAGGTGACCCATTGCTCCCATTCAGGTGGTGCTTCTCCCTTCCAGGTGATCCCCCTCTCCCTTGCAGTGCAGGTAACCTCCTACTCTCTTTCCCCACCAGCTAGCTTCAAAACACCTATTCCGCCGCCACCCCGCCTTCCCTCCACACCACATCCTCCTGGCTTTGCAAGAACCTCTTCCTCGCCCCGGTTCCAAGGAACCTCTTCCTCCCCTCTTCCTCCATTCGGCCTCCCCTTGGCTTTGCAAGTATGGGGAGGCGAAGGGGAGGAAGAGGGAGGTTCCGACCCCGGCTCCTCTGCTACCGCTGCTTGTTTGTGGTAGAGTCAGTCCAAAACACTGTAAATCCAAAAGTGCTTGCCACACGATGCAGAAAATAAAGCAAGCACACGCATGGTGCAAACAAAGGGTAGGTGGGACGGGCTGGGCCAGCCCGACCCAAGCCATGTGGCCCAGCCCGAACCAATTCATGTGGCTTGGTTCGGGCTAGTTTTGAGGCGCCTCAAAACTAGGCGCCTCAAAACTAGGCTTGGTTCGGGCTTCAGGCCGGACGAATTTCGAACCAGCGTGAAACAGGTTGGTCAGGACTTTGGCCCTTTGCTGGCCCATGCTTGGCATACCATGCATGCTGTGGTGCCTGAACTGAACTCAACACGTGCTCCCGCCATTCCCATACTCTGTTCTTGCTTTTTGCAGTCTCAGTGTGTAGTGCATGAGATCCAGTCAATGACTGACTACAGAAAGCTCACAGCGGTGAGTGTTGTCTCGGGTAGTGCTGCACACACACTCATGCACACCCACAACCACACACACATACACATACACATACACATACATCACCACACACACACACACAGAGGCAAACACACACACACACACACACACACACACACACAGCTGCACCCCTGGTTCCAGGCCCAGTGTGTGTGTGGTGGACGAGGTGACAGACTCCAGAAAGCTGGCAGCAGTGACTGATTGGTCTCTTGATAGTGCTGCACGCGCGCACACACACAGCCGCGTGCATGCACGGCTGTATGCACAGCTGCATGTACAGCTGCACGTACAGCTGCGCGCACACACACGGCTGCGGGCATGGTTCAAGGCCCAGTGTGTGCTGCACGAGATCGAGTCAATCAGAGACCACAGGTAGCTGACAGCGGTGAGTGTGCTTGAGATTAAGATTGAACAGCGATACTTTCTGGTGAAGAACGAATGTAACCGACCTCATTTCTCACCCTCCCTTCCCTCAACCCCACCCTCCCTTCCCTCACACCCTCCCTTCACGCTCCTCAACCCCACCCTCCCTTCCCTCACACCCACCCTTGCATCTACTCACCTCCACCCTTCCCTCTACTTAACCCCACCCTCTGCTCCCTCGTGCCACCTGCAGGTGGAGCAGGGGTGGTACTTCGCAGGCGCGGGGGCAGCAGCGCTGCTGGCGAAGAAGGTGGAGCTGCTGGTGGGAGGGGCGGAGCGGAGTTGCTGAGTCTCACCACACGGTCCACCTTCCCTTTCCACTCCCCTAACCTCTCCCTTCCATCACGGGTGCAGGTGGAGCAGGGATGGTACTTCACAGGGCCGGGGGCAGCAGCACTGCTGGCGAAGAAAGTGGAGCTGCTGGTGGGAGGGGCGGAGCTGGGCCCTGTGGACGTGGAGGTGCTCATGGGGAGAAAACTCCGAGTGAGTGGGTGGCTCTTATTGTTTTATTTATTGGTTATTGCCCGATCTTTCTTTCATTCTGGTCTCATCATGGGAGGGGCGGAGCTGGGCCCTGTGGACGTTGAAGTGCTCAAGGGGAGGAAACTCCGAGTGAGTGGCTTAGAAATGCGTCAGTAGCATTTCGTCCGTGCCTTTTCATACCGTTTCTTGCCTTCCCTACTTCGTTCGCATCATGGGAGGAGCGGCACTGCGCCCTGTGCATGTTGAGGTCCTCATGGGTCAAAAACTCCGAGTGAGTGGCTCTTGTTGTCCTTGTTTCTCCTTGCACTTTCTCTCTCTCACCCCTTCGCTCTCACTCCTCATTCCTCCACTCTCGGTGCTTTGTTCTCATCATCAGAGGGGTACGGATGGGCCCTGTGGACGTGGGTACTCCACAGGGCCCATCCCTGCCCCTCTGATGCTATCCCCTGGGCCCTTGGAAGTTCTCTGGCCATCAAGGCGTGAGTAGCATTTCATCCTCACTCCCTTCTTCCTTCCCATCCCCACCATCAGGTGCAGCGAGCAGCCAGGGGACTTGCAGCACTGCACTTCTTCGAGCTCTGTGAGAGGTGCCTCTCAGTGCTGCTGAGCTGGCTACTCTCTCGATTACTTCCAATGTGTCCCACCCCTCCTTTACTTCTCCCCTCCCTCCTCCCCTTTCCCCCTCCTCTCTACATCCCCACCATCAGGTGCAACGAGCAGCCAAGGGTGTGGCAGTAGTTAAATGCTTCGAACTCTGTGAGAGGTGCCTCTTGGAGCCGCAACGTGCTTCTCTCTCAGTGCTACTGACTACTCATTCGTTCCCATTGTCGCCCGCCCCTCCCTCTCCATCAGGTGCAACGAGCAGCCAAGGGAGTGGCGGCAGTCAAGTTCTTTGAACTCTGCGAGGTGCCTCTTGGAGCTGCTGACTACTTCGCCCTCTGCAGTAAGAAATGTGCCCCTCGGCCGAAAGCCGCTGGCGTGAGCCGTTGACAAAAGAGAAGGAAACACAACTAGAAATAAAATAATAATGCTACGAACTCTAGCTATGTATATGTATATATATTACACGTACAAAAACTCAATATCCCTTTGCAATATTTCTCATTCCCTTGTTGTGAGACCTATATAGACCCGATATTCCTTCCCAGTATGTCTCATTCGCTTGTTTTGAGATGTTCCAAACCTCGATGACCCTTTTCTAGTTTGTTTCATTCCTTTGTTTGCAGCCTACACGGATCGAATGTCTCTCATTTCTTATCTTATTCCAATCCATCCCTTCATTTTCAGAGAATTTTCACACCATAGCCATGGAGGGTATTCCCATATTTGGGGCATCCAACAGAGGGGCAGCGTATCGATTCGTTACTCTAATCGATGTGAGTGAGTCTTACTAGTGCTGTTCATTTTTAACAGCCTGTTCTCGTTCGTCTCTGCACATAATGTGTGAGTTGCATGGATGTGGAGACTTATGCCACATAGCATAGCATCCGCGATGGGTGTAGCACATGCGTCACATGATGCTACATGACATATGTGAAAGTAGCATGGCAGAAAACCGAGTGTTATTGATTGGTGAGCAGTATTGTTGATCGCCCATCGTGGAGGGAAGATTGGAAGCTTTGATTGGCATGATGACATGTATCCCAAGTATGGATGCCTCAGTCGTCACACTTAGCAAAGTGTCACTTTACACTTAGCATACCACCTTAACTAGGTACCAGGTCACAAAATTCAGCTGGAGACACACCAGATCAGACAGACTCCCAGCAGACCGAGGTGTTAGCATGAAAGCCAGGCTCTTGCCCTCACCCTTCACGAGGCCTATATATGGTGAGGCCTCATCCCTGCCTGGTATCCCCTCTTCCCAGGTGATGCATGAGGACAAGACCCGCCTTGGTTCGTGCTCAAGTCACTCGTGCTGTGATTCTGGGCCTTGTCTTAGGCCGCAGCTTGTTTATCACCTCCCAACCCCCTCTCCTCCCCAACCTCCCTGGTCAGCCTGGACTGCTCAGCAGAAAACACTGCCTTGCTTTTGAGAATCCTCAAAAGTGAATCCAACCACAACCCCCGCCCACCCGCCTTCCCCCCCCCCCTCCCCCCCCCCCCCCCCCCACCCCCCCTCTCCCCCCCTCTTCCTCCCCCCCTAAACCGCCTTCTCTCCAAGTGATGCACGAGCCCAAGACGCGCCTTGAGTTGAGCTCCAAACGTTCCTGCTCTGACGTTGGGCCTTGGCTTATTTCTTTCCACCAACCCACCCATCTACTCCTCCCCACCCCGTCCCTCCCCCACGCCCAACCCCCCCATTTTCCACCCTCTCCCCAGGTGATGTGTGAGCACAATACCTGCCTGGTCTGCTCAGCAGAGGGCACTCCCTTGGAGCTTCTGCAAATTTCTCAAAAGTCAATCCACCCCACCCACCCCCTCCCCTCTCCTTTTCCTCGCTCCCCATACACTCACAAAGGTCCTTTTCCCCGTACCCCGTGTGAGCACAAAACCAGCCTGGTGTGCTTAGCAGAGGGCGCTCCCTTGGATTAGCTCCCTTGGATTAGCTCCCTTGGATTAGCTCCCTTGGATTAGCTCCCTTGGATTAGCTCCCTTGGATTAGCTCCCTTGGATTAGCTCCCTTGGATTTGCTTCTGTGAATTCATTTCCTCCCCTCTTTCCCATTCCCCCCCCCACCTTCCAGCTGATGTATGAGCACAAGACCCACCTAGTCTGCTCGGCAAAGGGCTCTTCCTTAGAGATTCTGATGATTTTCATAAATCAATCCCCCCTCTTCCCCCCCCTTCCCCTTCCTCCTCTCTCTCCTCCCCAGGTGATATACGAGCACAAGACCCGCCTCGTCTGCTCGGCAGAGGGCACTCCCTTTGAGCTCTTCGAGCGCGTGGTTACCATCGCAAATGCGCCACGTAAGACGGCCGCCAGGTCAGCAAGATCCGAGGATGCTGATGTGGCAGTGGACGACGAGCTGGGATTCGCCAAGGACCGCACAGTCAGCAGGTGAGGCAGCGATCAACGACTCCCTTTGCAGGCAAATATAGTGAATTCACCAATTCCAGGTTTCCACCTTTTCGTTTCTATGCTCAGCCCTTCCTGTCCAACCTATTTTGACCGGATTTTCTGCCACAGGATGATGGAGATGCAGAGTACAGAGTATGAGCACGACAATGCGGTGGCTTACAAGCACATGTTACAAAAACCTTAGTACATGGTGCAAATTTGCAAACATGCCACATAAATGTGATATTATTGTTTGTAAGGAATATAAGAAATTGTATGGTATATGCAAAGAGTAGAAAACATGTCAAAGGCAATAAAAATCATCCAGCACGTTAAGGTATGATTTTGTTGTACCAAGTTTGATGTGATTGTATTTGTACTCACGACCTTCTGACGAGATGTACAACCGCCCCGCTGGATTCTATCGAATAAGCGATGTCATATGTTCAGAAGTTTGCGAGTCAAGTATACCACGACGACTTATGTTGTCCAGCCAGTGTGACACGCACATGACTGTCACGACAGGCAAGACTTTGATGACATCGCGTCGCATCCCATCACCCCATCATTCCTTTCCTCATTGGTGCGCTTCCACCCAGTTCGCCAGGAAGGATGCGTCGCCAGCTTCGCAGCACCTCCAAGTGAGGCTTTCTTGCCACGCAACGACATGGTTGCCTGGCGAGGCGAGCAGCGATGGTTTGCAACATTGCAACGGAGACATTTGAAAGGTTGAGACGGTAGCAACGACACTCCTCGAAGTCGGTAACCCGATAGGTCACTTATCCCCCCACCCACCGGCTGAACTCTCACCCGCACACACAAAGCGGGGCGAAATACCATTCATACATTCACCCACTTCTAGTAATCGACGATTATTCCATCACTCACAAAAGCCTTGTTTCCCAACGGAACCTCTTCAGCCGTTTCTCTTGCTGCAAAAACAAAATCATATCTGCCTTTCGACAAGGAGCAGCGCCAATCCAATTTTTCCGAAAGCGATCGATACGTCAACACTCACATCCTCTTCCAGCATTCCTTCTACCCTGCCAATCAACCAATTCCCGTCCCCACAACTGTTGTCACACCTGAACATTCGAAAACCCGCCCGAAAGTCTTGCCGCCTCCCCTCCGTGCATGGCCCTCCAGCAGCACAACTTTGCGCCAGCCTCGATACCCGCAGCACGACAGCACAATCCCCGCTCGAGCCTTGTCCGCCCGATCGCGTCATCCTCGTTCCGTCGCGAGGCCTCTCGTGTTGTAGAGGACTCTCCTCTACTTTGCAGGAACTGGGAGTTGTTCTAAACGATAGAGCTCTGTCTTAGCTTTCCAACGAGCCGTCAAACACGTCGATCGCCTAAGTATTCTCCGAGATATAGGCGTTCACGTGCTAGGTGGTGCTCTTGAATGCAAGTAAAGAAGCTCTCTGGAATTTGTGTTCGAATGTACCTTGTACAAAGAACTCTGAGTTTCACTATGATGGCATGCAATACAAAGAAAACAGATTTATAGCATGCAAACAAGATCGAATCGCACAAGTAACCTCGAACCGCTACACTCGCGAATGTTCGAGTAACATCGAAAGGGTGAAATTCGACTCTCGAATTTCACCGATCCGAATTCTCCTTGGGTCTCGAATGTTCCTGGTGCTGCCATGTGGCACCGAATCGAATGGGTCTTCCGAAGTCAATCCTCAACCCCACGCAAACCTGCAACTCACTCGAAGGTGAGCACAAGTCACACATTCGGTGGGTTGGGGGCATACAAACGCCCCACCACCACCTTGCTTCCAACACACGTAATCTCCAACACTCCCCCTTGCACCCAACCCACTAGGTGTGCAAACCAACATGCTCATAGCATGCACGGGATGAATCTTTAGGGGGTGGTTCCATGAGAGATTTCGCGTGTTCATCATCACCCTTGGTTGCGAAGCAAAATGCCGCGCCCTCCTTATCCGTCTCCCCAACGGCTACCGTAGCGTAGTCGTTGTACTTGGAGGGAGGACGAACCTCACGACGCTCGCGGGTCAAGGCCAATGGTAGGGAGGAAGGTGTGGAGGTAGTTGCCGCCTCGGTTGGTGACACCTCCACGACATCATCAATGCTCTCCTCGTTGTTCGCTCCCCCTCCATCGGCTTCCTTCTCCACTTGAGGTGGAGTCTCACTCTCTTCAACCTCCTCTCGTGGCGGAAGGATGAAGGTGAGTTGTTGAGTGGGTTTCTCCTTCGACGGGAACTTGTCTTCATCGAAGACCACGTCCCGAGACGTGACGACGCACTTGTCGCCCAAGTCCCACACTCGCCACGCACGCTCGTTCGCCGCAATTCCCAAGTAGATCGCCGCACGAGCCTTCGGTTGCAACTTGTGGCGAAGGGGATCCGGTACATGGTAGTAGCAAAGGCACCCAAAGGTGCGAAGGCGGGATAGGTTCGGCTTCGTTCCGGTCCATGCTTCGAACGGAGTCATTCCCGGGAGCACCTTCGTCGGCAAACGGTTGCGAATCCACGCCGCTAGCGAACTCGCCTCGCCCCACCACTCTTTCCCAAGCTTGGAGTGTTGAAGAAGAGAACGAACGGCTTCCACCAACGTGCGATTAAGCCGCTCCGCCGCTCCATTTTGTTGGGGTGTGTAGGGTGTTGTGACGTCGTGCTTAATGCCCTTGCACTTCATCCATTTCTCGAGCTCCGCATTCACGAATTCGCCACCACCATCGGTGCGAATACACTTGATCCGCTTCTTGTCATCGTCGCAAACTTCGAGCGCCCACTCTTGAATCGCCTTGATCGCATCTCCCTTAGCCTTCAAAAGTCGGGTCCAACACATCCGCGTCGCGTCGTCGAGCATCACTAAGAGGAACCGCGCTCCTCCCTTTGATGCATGCCGCATCGGTCCACACACGTCCATGTGAACAAGTGCAAGCGGGTCCTTAGCGAGGGGTGACGTTCGGCTACCGAATGGCTTGCGAGCCATTTTTCCTTCGACACACACCGCGCACACGCCCTTCTCGTCGTCGCCGGCGATCACGTCGACTCCCTTCGCAAGTCCTTTGTTGGCCAACTCCTTGACCGAGTCGTAGTTGGCGTGCGCAAGCCGATTATGCCACGCCTTGAGAGTCGCCTTGGAGCCTTGCGCCACGTTGGATGAAGCCGCTTTCGGGTACGTCTTGAGTTGGTAGATATCTCCGTTGAGAACACCTTGCACGAATTGCTCCCCCTTCCAAAAGAGGTTCATTTTCGCACCGTCGATCGTGGCGATCACTCCCTTCTTCGCAAGTTGCGGGACGGATAGAAGGTTCACCTTCACCCCCGGGACGTGAAACACGTTCGTCACGTCCACCGGACCGCTATCGACGATGAGGCGCATACTCCCAACTCCGACCACCGGTAGCGATTCGTTGTTTCCGAACACGATGCTCGTGACGTCTCCCGGAGCGCCAATGTTGTTGAGGAGCGACGCCGAGTGCGTCATGTGTTGCGTTGCGCCGGTATCGAGGGACCACACGTCGCTTGGAGTTTTGTTCCCGTTGCCGGCCACTAACACGAGCGACTCCTTTGAATCATCGGCCTCGCCGGATGCCGTGTGCGCGTTGCCCTCTTGGTCCCGCGCCATCGATGGAGTCCAATCGCTCGGCCGCTTTCGACACTCACGCCAAAAGTGTCCCGGTTTGCGGCAATAGTGACACTTGCCGCGATGCTCGCTCCCACCGGACGATTCCTTCGTTGCGTCCTTGCTCCACTTGGACTTCTTTCCGGAACTCCCTCCGGAGTACATGGCGGCACCCTCGCTCTCATTAGCGAATTGTCGGCGACGCGATTCTTCATGGAGAAGCCGACCAACCACCATTTCCTTCGTCCAAGTGTCTTGCACGCTATCGAGTGTCGTAATCACCGTCGACCACTCTTCCGGAAGGCCGCAAAGCAAGGTGAGAATCCAATCCTCCTCCGTGACCGTTCCACCGAGGTCCATGAACGTTTCCCCGAGTTCCTCCACACGAGTCGCAAACTCGTGCATCGATTCGCCCGCGCGCATCTTCATCGTGTAGAACGCATTCCGGGCTAGGATCTTGCCGTGGAGAGTCTTGTTCACGTGGATGGTCTCGAGCCGCTTCCACGCTTCATGCGCCGACGCTTCGAGCTTGATGCACATGCGCACCGAGCTCACGAGATTGATGCCGATGCGCGAAATCAACGTAGCGAACGCCTTTTGGTCCTTCTTCTTCCATGCCGCGATGCCGCTCTCATCGTCCGGCTTCTTCTCCGTTCCATCGAAGAAACCCCAAAGTCCCCGCTCCATCATGAGCACTTGGAACTTAAACTTCCACGTGGAGTAGTTTTGTCCCGTGAAAATCGGTACCGCCGACGTGTCGAACATCGTCGCGGTTGCCCAGGGTTCGCCGGAATTTACAACGACACCATCCAAGGAAGTGCGGGAGGCCTCGCTTGAAGTCATCATGCGTGCTCCTTGTCGCGCGCGTAGACTCCTCCGACCAGCTCTGATACCACTGTTGTAGAGGACTCTCCTCTACTTTGCAGGAACTGGGAAGTGTTCAAAGCAGTAGAGCACTCTGCTAGCTTTCCAACGAGCCGTAGATCACCTCGATCGCCTAAGTATCGAGCGAGATATCGCCGTTTATGTGCTAGGTAGTGCTCTTAGATTGAAGGATAGGAGCTCTCTGGAATTTGTGTTCGAATGTACCTTGTACAAAGAACTCTGAGTTTCACTATGATGGCATGCAATACAAAGAAAACAGATTTATAGCATGCAAACAAGATCGAATCGCACAAGTAACCTCGAACCGCTACACTCGCGAATGTTCGAGTAACATCGAAAGGGTGAAATTCGACTCTCGAATTTCACCGATCCAAATTCTCCTTGGGTCTCGAATGTTCCTGGTGCTGCCATGTGGCACCGAATCGAATGGGTCTTCCGAAGTCAATCCTCAACCCCACGCAAATCTGCAACTCACTCGAAGGTGAGCACAAGTCACACATTCGGTGGGTTGGGGGCATACAAACGCCCCACCACCACCTTGCTTCCAACACACGTAATCTCCAACATCTCGTACCTTCGAGACAATCGATCTTAAGAGGGACGGAAAAATCTCCGCTCATGAGCTCGCGACGCTCCTAGCACGGCTGGACAAAGCAGCTACTGGGTCGAAGCATGGACTGTGCGGTAGTGGTAGTTTGCTTGGAGCAGGCGGTGATTTGATTGGCTTCGCGGAGGAGGTGATTCGAGAGGCTGACGTGGACGGCGACGGAATGATCGATTTCGAGGAGTTTTTGCTCTCGGCACGCGCAGGGCCGTCCCTGTTGAGCGAATACTTCGTCTCAGTTCCACCGTCCGATGAGGAGGAGGAATCAGTATCGGACGGTGGAAGTGATTCAGAAAAGGACGACATGGAAGGAGATTTGTTCCGCGCGTTTGAAGTTTTTGACCGTGACAGCAATGGGGTTATTACCGCGGAAGAGCTACAGTTCGTCATAGGTGTTCTTAATGGGGATAATTTGACGATGGAAGACTGCAAACGGATGATAAAGCGGGTGGACACTAACGGGGAAAAATGTGTGGATTACAGCGAGTTCAGGACCATGATGGCTGGGATTTTCGATTGACTCTTAGGGTTGAGCTTGACGATGAATGATTTACTTTTATTGAATTCTGATTGTATTGGCGAATAATGAGATATTAACGACTTGGACACCCAAGCAACCTCTAGCAACCCACAGCCCCCCACCCAACGAATGCACTACACTCAGGTTGCACCACCTCCCTGGCTGGTTCGCTTCCCACTCACACAAACCCTCCTTGTTGAGATAATACGAAGACTTAAGCACTTCAAGGATTCGTGTAGTACAGTGCGAGATTCGCACGTAACAGTAAAGTACCGATAGGCTGACGTCAACAAAGCGCTACGCGCCCTAGGATGACGTCAGCACGTAGCTATAGACCTCGCGAAAAATTACGTACCGTTTCAGAACAAGAATAGCACAGTACAGTAGCCGAACAGGTACTTTACTCTAGCTATATATTCTGTATGCTTGTCATTTTATAATATATCTGATTTCAGAGACATTGATCCTGAAACATATCACTACATGGGCTTTCACTAGTCCAGACAAAGCCTCATTAACTGGCTTTAATTCATACAAGACTTCCGCTACGACAGGAAGCTACCATCCTAAGTATTACGATCCTATTCAATCATTTCAAATTCTAACACTTCTGAGCCTGCTGTCCATCCAGGCACACACGCCAAGCGCATCACCCTCTGCTCACTTTCCTCCCCAGGCTATTGCTACTGCTATCCTCGCGCAACAATGCAACTCCCTCCCAACTGTGTCTTGCAGAAAGCTTCTGTTCTGTACCGCCTCACTCACAAGGCACCCCTCCCACAGGACCACAAAAGCCCAGCCTCTAACAGGCAACCTGCTGTATGATTATCAGATTCCGCTTCAGTGTAGCAGCATCCCTGACCTTCCTGACTAGTACCAGGCAGCCGAAATTATGGCTCATGTTGCTCTGACTTGGCAGGTGCTGAGGCTGCTGCGGTGGGGTCTGTGCCTCCTGTCTCCTTTATAAGGTCACTCACGTTCCGCTCTAGCTCGTCTATGCGTGTGCCCATCTCGTCGAGTGGTTGAGGATAAATGGATTAGGAGAACCGGAAGAGATGAGAGAGGACATTGAGAGGGCGAGTGCGAGACAGGGAAGAGGAGGGGGGCAAGAGAGAGAGGAGAGAGGGAGTTAAGGATGAACCACAGGCATGGCAGGAGAGAGGTGAAGAAGAAAAGGGAGATGAGCAAACAAACACGCCCAATTGTAAACGACAGAGAAGCACAGAGCATTGCATGCAATGTGAAAGGTGGACATGAGAGGGAGGTGGGCGGAAGAATAGGGAGGAAGCAAAACGTAGAGTAAAGGAGAGGGAGGAGGAAAGGGGCAATGAGGGGCGGCAAAGCGGATATTCCTCGAGATGATTGTCTCGGACATGGTCTGGAAGCGTGCTTGCTGCAGGGCACAGGTGGCGGGACAGACAACACAGAACACAGGAACAGAGAGCAGGTGGAGGGGGCTTTTGAGTCGACTCAGAAGGGGCGGCAAGGCGGATATTCCTTGAGATGATTGTCTCGGACATGGTTTGGAAGCGAGCTTGCTGCAGATCACAGGTGGAGGGATAAAGAAGAGAGAACACAGGGAGAGAGAGCAGGTGGAGGGCGAGGCGAAACGGAAGGACAAAGATTGAAGAGAAATACAATAGGCCTTCATCGAATGCATGTGGAGGAACATGATGGCACTTGATTGAATTTTGAGGCGCCTCAAAAGTCGGTTACTGAGCGCAGGTGGAGGAACATGATGGCACGGAATGGAGACGCGGAACAGGGAGCAGAAAAGATGCATGCGTGGCGAGAATGAAATAGAGCACGCAAGATGATGATTTGACTGGTATTACGGGACGCGGAGCCTTTCCAATTGCTGAAAGTACGTTTGTTGAGTCGACTCAGAAATAGGGAAAGCACGATGATGATTTGAGTGCTCTTACGGGACATTGAGGCTCACCATTTGCTGAAGAAGCGTTTGTACCTGCAAGGTGGAACGCACAGAGGGGCAACACACAGAGGGGCAGCACACAGAGCGGCAACACACAGAGGGGAAAGAGAAAGTGAGTGCTTCCCAGTGCATGGGACTCACACTGTACATGCACATAGCATCATGCGCGAACAATTTTGAGATTTCTGAAAGGGAATCACACTGCACACGCACACACACATAGCATCACGCGCGAATAGAATCAAAAGCGAACGCACAGCATCACGCGCATGCTTCTTCTCTAATCGAGTTAGGTGCTCGGATGAGTCATACACACACCACATAAGTTTTTACCATAGCACAGATCACCCAATTCAATCCAAGGTGCATCACATGCATGACCTGCAGACGGACGGATGTTGGTGTATGGAGATCAGCATAACGCTGTATGACATGGCAATTATCTTATTTGTGCAGATGAGCAAAATGCAGATGCAAGCATGGCATGGCATAGTATGGCATGGTATAGTATGGCATGGCATGGCAAGCCATGGTATACCATATGACATAGTATTGCATGGCATGGGAAGGCATGGCATGGCATGGCATCGCATGTCATGGTATGGCATGGCATGGCATGGGAACTGACAAAGGCTGTGAGGTCAGCAACGTTGTGTGGCGCTGCTGCGTCTGCCTGCGTCCCCCCTGTGGTGCCCTGTGACTGTGGATCTGACGCTGCTGCCGCGTTCCCTGAGGAATCCTGGGAGAGGGAGGGAGTACGAAAGGGGGAAAATGGGGGATTTTCTAAGAGCGTCAAAAGGCGTCCCCCCTGTGGTGCCCTGTGACTGCGGATCAGATCAGACGCTGCTGCCGCGTTCCCTGAGGAATCCTGGGACGAGTGACGAGAATGAAATAGGGGAAAGCAAGATGATTTGACCTTTCAGCAACGTTGTGAGGCACTGCTGCTTCTGCGTGCATCCCCCCTCTGGTGCCCTGTGACTGTGGATCCGACGCTGCTGCCGCGTTCCCTGAGGAATCCTGGGCGCATGAGGGGGCGCGGAAAGGGGAGAAGGAGAGGGTAGGGGAAGCGGAGGGGGAGAAGAGGAGGGGGAAGAACAATATGCTGCTGCTTCTGCGTGCGTCCCCCCTGTGGTGGCCTGTGACTGCGGATCAGATCAGACGCTGCAGTCTCGTTCCATGAGGAATCTTGCCAGCAAGAGGGGGAGTGGAAGGGGGAGAAAGGAGGAGGAGGAGAAGGAAGGGGGAGAAAGGAGGAGGAGGAGAAGGAAGGGGGAGAAGGAAGGGGGAGAAGGAAAGGGGAAAAGGAAAGGGGAAAAAGGAGGAGAAGGAAGGGGGAGAAGGAAAGGGGAGAAAGAACGGGGAGAAGGAAAGGGGAGAGAGAAGGGGGAGAAGGAAGGGGGAGAAGGAAGGGGGAGGTGGAAGGGGGGAGGTGCAAGGAGGGAGGTGGAGGGAGGTGGAAGGAGGGCGACAGAAGGAGGAGGTTCGAACCAAACCAGTCCGAGACTGCTCGTTTTCATGCGGCACGACGGCTGGGAGGCCATGCTCGACCTGGCACGACGATTCGTACGTACCATGCAGCGACTGCGTCGCTTTTGAGAATTCTCTATTAAAATGTTTCTAAGAAAGTTCAAAAGCAAAAACACGATGGCTGGGAGGCTATGATAGACTGGCATGGCGATTCATACCATGCAGTGACTGCGGATAGGGGATAGTGCGATGACGCGGAATACGCCAAAAATCACCGCCACAGTCTCAGGAAATTACGAGTTCCAGAAGTGCGGCCTACTAGCAGTGTAAAGGAACATGAGAAACGTTTGGAGAGGGCGCAGCGGAAGAAGCGGAGTGAATCTGCACGAGTGTCGAGATGGTGAAAAGAGGTTCGACTCGCAAATCCCTAAAAAAACCTAAGGGCGGGTCAGGGCGCGTTCGCTGTCATAAAATTTGCAGTACAGATCCCATATAATCTGCGTGACAGATTGCAGAGCACAAGTGTGAGTAACAAGCAGCACTTCGCCAAACCAGCATCGCAAATAGTATCGCGAAATTCGTCCCAGATCCAACGAGGGTGAGGGTGAGGGTGTGGATACTTCGCAAGCAAAACTGCTTGTTTCGAGCGAAAGTTGATCCGTGTCAGTTTGCTGGGCTTCCGGGTCAGATTCACGTGAATGAACGCCACCCTGTTGCCCTAAGAATGTGTGGTGATAAGGTGTAAATGACAAGCTAGGTTGCCGCACCCAAGCAGTGAGGCTGCTATCGAGATGACTGTAACAAGAGTGTGTTGAAGCCGTGGGACTGTAGCAGAGCAAGCGGAGACAGGAGAGCGAGAGAAGGAAAGCAAGAGAGAGCTCAAGAGGCGGGAGAAAGAGCACGAGAGATCGCGAGAGAACGCGAGAGAGCGCGAGAGCCATGGGTCACGCGGCGTTTCAGCTCGTTCGCGCCGTAACCCTAACGGACACCTCTGGTAGCTCTCGTTCTTCTCCCACTCCCCCTAGCACCGCTCTCAGCCGCTTTCTCGGTCCCGCTGCGACGGCGACGGCGAGTCCGAGTCGCATTCTCTGCTGCACCCAATGGCGCTCCTCCATTCTCATTGGCTGCAGCGACGGCGCGCTGTTAGAGTACCGCCCGGCGGGAGCGGCAGCATCAGCAGCAGCGGACCAATCAGCGGCTTCCGCGCCGCGTGTCGCGGCTGGCAACGGTGGCTATTCGCTGTTCGCGCGGAAAGACGGTTTCGCGCCGTCCGCCATTATGCGACTCGAGATCGCGCTGCCGACAGCAGCTGCTGCTGATAGTTCCGATGCCCCCGCCGCCCCCGCCGCTTCCGCCACGTCCGGCGCTTCCGGGGCGGCGGGCATGCTGATCGCGCTGGCGGACTGCGTGAGGCTGGCGGCGCTGCCTTCTTTGGAGCCGCTGACGTGTCTCCCGCGCACAGCTGGCGCCACGTCATTGGCGTGGGACGCGGAGGGCGGCGTGCTGTGCGTGGCGATCAAGAGGAGAGTGCTCGTGCTGCGGTTTGATGGTGGGTCGTTGTGGGTTGGGAATGGTTGAAAGTGGTGCCACTGCCAGTGGTACTGCTGCGTATCTCCTCTCCTGCCACCTCTCATCTTTCTTCTCTCATCTTTCTTCTCTCATCTTTCTTCTCTCATCTTTCTTCTCTCATCTTTCTTCTCTCATCTTTCTTCTCTCATCTCTTGTTTCCTCCCTTCCTCACTCGTCCTCATGCCTCCATCCACCCTATCCACCCCTCCCCAGGCCGAGCAACCTTTTAGAAGGAGCGCAAGTTCACGTGCCCAGATGCCCTCACAGGCCGTTCATCCCATCCCCTCCCCTTCTCCTCCTTGCTCTTCCCCTTCAGCCCAACTCTTTCCAACTCTTTCCCTTTCCGAGTCTTTCCTTCTCGGCTCTCCCCCAGGCCGTTCAACTTGCGAGAGTTCACGTGCCCACACGCCCCTCCTCTTCGTTCCTTCTCCCTTCCCGTCTTACCCTTCCCCACCCCCAGGCCGTTCAACCTTCAAGGAGGAGCGAGAATTCACCTGCCCAGACGCCCCTCTCGCCTGCTTGCCCTGTGTTTCCGCCCTCCTCCTCTTCCTCCTCACATCCTCAGCCTTCTCCCTCCCTTTCCCTCCCTCATCCCTCCCAGGCAATTCGACCTTCAAGGAGGAGCGAGAGTTCACCTGCCCAGACACCCCTCTGAGGCCACTCAGTCCATCCCTTCCACTTCCTCTTCCTCCTCCTTCTCCCTTCGCGTCTTACCCTTTCCCACCCCCAGGCCGTTCAACCTTCAAGGAGGAGCGAGAATTCACCTGTCCAGACGCCCCTCGCCTGCTCGCCCTGCCCTCGCCCACCACTCTCTGCGCCGCCACACCCACCAAGTACCTTCTGCACCACATTCCACCGCCCGGCACCGTTGGAAGCGGGGGCTCGTGGCGGGACATGCTGCCATGCGGGCAGGTGGCCCCACCCAGTGTGGTGAAGTTGCCTCGTGGAGAGATGCTAGTCGGCAAGGTGAGAGGGTGATGGTTGCTGCTTGCATGGGTTGGGGATGGCTGCTCCTTACAGGACCGCTGGCATTGGTGGCAGTGGTGGCTCGTGGCGGGACATGCTGCCATGCAGGCAGGTGGCCCCACCTAGTGTTGTAAAGCTGCCCCGGGGAGAGATGTTGGTCGGCAAAGTGAGATTGTAGTAGTGGGAGGGGGGCTGGTGCATGTGTGGCACCGCTGGCAGCGGCGGCTCGTGGCGGGACATGCTGCCATGCAGGCAGGTGGCCCCACCTAGTGTTGTAAAGCTGCCCCGGGGAGAGATGTTGGTCGGCAAAGTGAGATTGTAGTAGTGGGAGGGGGGCTGGTGCATGTGTGGCACCGCTGGCAGCGGCGGCTCGTGGCGGGACATGCTGCCATGCAGGCAGGTGGCCCCACCTAGTGTTGTAAAGCTGCCCCGGGGAGAGATGTTGGTCGGCAAAGTGAGATTGTAGTAGTGGGAGGGGGGCTGGTGCATGTGTGGCACCGCTGGCAGCGGCGGCTCGTGGCGGGACATGCTGCCGTGTGGGCAGGTAGGCGCCTCCCAGTGTGGTGAAGCTGCCTCCCAGTGTGGTGAAGCTGCCTCCCAGTGTGGTGAAGCTGCCTCCCAGTGTGGTGAAGCTGCCTCCCAGTGTGGTGAAGCTGCCTCCCAGTGTGGTGAAGCTGCCTCCCAGTGTGGTGAAGCTGCCTCCCAGTGTGGTGAAGCTGCCTCCCAGTGTGGTGAAGCTGCCTCCCAGTGTGGTGAAGCTGCCTCCCAGTGTGGTGAAGCTGCCTCCCAGTGTGGTGAAGCTGCCTCCCAGTGTGGTGAAGCTGCCTCCCAGTGTGGTGAAGCTGCCTCCCAGTGTGGTGAAGCTGCCTCCCAGTGTGGTGAAGCTGCCTCCCAGTGTGGTGAAGCTGCCTCCCAGTGTGGTGAAGCTGCCTCCCAGTGTGGTGAAGCTGCCTCCCAGTGTGGTGAAGCTGCCTCCCAGTGTGGTGAAGCTGCCTCCCAGTGTGGTGAAGCTGCCTCCCAGTGTGGTGAAGCTGCCTCCCAGTGTGGTGAAGCTGCCTCCCAGTGTGGTGAAGCTGCCTCCCAGTGTGGTGAAGCTGCCTCCCAGTGTGGTGAAGCTGCCTCCCAGTGTGGTGAAGCTGCCTCCCAGTGTGGTGAAGCTGCCTCCCAGTGTGGTGAAGCTGCCTCCCAGTGTGGTGAAGCTGCCTCCCAGTGTGGTGAAGCTGCCTCCCAGTGTGGTGAAGCTGCCTCCCAGTGTGGTGAAGCTGCCTCCCAGTGTGGTGAAGCTGCCTCCCAGTGTGGTGAAGCTGCCTCCCAGTGTGGTGAAGCTGCCTCCCAGTGTGGCGAAGCTGCCTCCCAGTGTGGTGAAGCTGCCTCCCAGTGTGATGAAGCTGCCCCGTGGGGAGATGCTAGTTGGCAAGGTGAGGTGAGGTGAGGTGAGGTGAGGTGAGGTGAGGTGAGGTGAGGTGAGGTGAGGTGAGGTGAGGTGAGGTGAGGTCTTAGGAGGTGGCATGTGGGCAGTATGGGCAGGTGGCCACGCCTATTGAGGTGATGTTTTTGGGGTCCATGTGCAGGTGAGCTTAAAAGCGCACCTCAATACAGAGAGATGCTGTGGGCAGATGGCCGCGCCCAATGTTTGTCGAGTTGCGGATGTTGCCATCTGTCCAGATGTTTCTGGGAGTTTTTGAGAATTCTCAAAAACTCCCTGAATTCTAAAAATTCTCAAAAACCATCTGTCCAGATCAAGGATAAAAAATACGGTTGTCGTATTATACGGGCCGTTTTTAACGGTCGTATTTTACGGTCAATTTTCAAAAATTCGGCCGTTTTTTTGTTAGAGTTTTTTTCTCCGCAAAAAAATAATAATCAAACTTCAGACTTGCTACCATCCACTTCCAGGGATGTGAACATCAAAGAAATTGCTAATTATCAGGCCTAAAAGGCCGCTCCCCCCCCCAAACTCAGACTATTATAAGCGGCCCCGCTTGTGCGGCGATTTCGCCTGCCGATCTGCGCATACCGACGATTTCGCCCGCCGATCTGCGCAGATCGGCGATTTCGCCCATAGCTCTGCACAGATCGGCGATTTCGCTGGTCAATTTGAATTCGCCACGAACTGAGAACCCAAATTCAGGCACCCCTTCCTCCCCGTCAAAATTGTTGGAACTCAATGTCCCAACCAATTCGTCGCCACTTACCACTTGTCACCGCACTGGATCTACAAGACCCAACCCCCCATACACTTTCACAGATCTCGACATTGGCCTCAGCCCAACCCTAGACTATTACAGATGGCCACGGAACCTGTCTGAGCTTCTGTGGGGATGTTCCTGAGCCCCACGGAAACTCCAAAATCTCGTTTAAAAAAATCGGCCGTAAAAAACGACCGTATTTTTGAACGAACCTAAAAATGCAAGGTCTGGCCGTATTTTACCGTTTAATACGACCGTAAAATAGGATACCGTATTTTACGGTAAATTTTCAAAAATTCGGTCGTATTTTTGAACCTTGGTCCAGATGTTTCTGGCCAAGGTAGACTGCTGCTTTTTTTTTAGGCGCCTTTTGAGGCGATTTTTTTTAGGCGCCTAATTTTTTTTCCAGTGTTTGTGAAGTTGCCACCTGTCCAGATGTTTCTGGGGCGAAGGTAGACTGCTGCTTATTCTCCCTTTCTCCTCTCCTTCCTGCTGAGCCCCCCCCCCCCCCCCCCCCTCAACCCCCCATCTTAACCATCCGCCATCAGGACAGCATAAGGCTCTTCCTTGACGCCTCTGGCGTACGGTGCATTGTGGCATGTACAATGCACCGTACGGCCCCATCAACCTTTGCCTCTCCTCTTCCCCCACACCTCTCTGCTCTTCCCCCCCTCTTCTTCATCTCCATCAGGACAGCATAGGGCTCTTTCTTGACGCCTCTGGTCGCCCTCTGCGCTCACACGGCATCAACTGGTCGCGCCCGCCCTCCCACGTGGCTGTTATGCCCCCCTATGCCCTCGCCAAGCTGCCCAACTACATCGAGGTATGGTCTTCATGTCTCTGCCTCCCTCTTACGAGTCTCTGTCATGTCATGTCACGTCCTTGTATGCTCCACCGCCCTCCCACGTGGCTGTCATGCCCCCCTATGCCCTCGCCAAGCTGCCCAACTACATTGAGGTGCGCATTGTCACACCTTCACACACAGTTTTTCACACCTTCACAAACCTTTTTCACACCTTCACAAACCTTTTCGCACCTTCACACACCTTTTCACACATTCACACACCTTCACAACGCACTGTCACGTCCATGTGTGCTCGACCCCTCTCCCTCGTAGCTGCCATGCCGCCCTACGCCCCCGCCAAGCTCCCCAACTACATAAGAGGTATGCCGTGCCGTCACACTTCAATCACATTGCACTCCCATGCCCATGCCCATGCCCATGCCCATGCCCATGCCCATGCCCATGCCCATGCCCATGCCCATACCCATGCCCATGCCCATGCCCATGTGCACGCGTGCGTGCTCCACCTCCCACCTGTCTGTCATGCCGCCCTACGCCCTCGCCAAGCTCCCCAACTACATAAGAGGTGCGCTCGCCATGTCACACCGTCGCAATGCATGGTTACATGTCACGTGGCACGTCTTCCCGTCTCGCCATATGTGCTCCACTGCCTTCCCACGTGGCACGTCTTCCCGTCTCGCCATATGTGCTCCACTGCCTTCCCACGTGGCACGTCGCTGCCATGCCGCCCTACGCCCGTGCTAACCTCATGTCTCTACTGCCCTCCCATGATTCACTGTCATGCCCTTGTATGCTTGCCGCCCTCCCATGTGGCTGGCTGTCATGCCACCCTACGCCCGCCCTAGACCGCCCAATTACATCGAGGTGCGATCGTCACGACGCGACGAGGCACCGGAATGAGGTGTGCTTCGTGACGATTGCACCTCGATTGCACTGTCAGGTCCCTTTGTGCTCCACCGTAGGGATGAGCAAGGGACGAACACGAACATGTTCGTGTTCGCCCCTAGACGAACACATCCGTTTGCCGAACCGAACACTGTTCGGTTCGGCGAACACTTTAAGCAAAAACACGTGTTCGCCGTTCGCCTGTGAAGGCGTGTTCGGGCGAACCTCGAACACGTTCGTGTTCGTCGCGGGGCAAATTGCAGCAGCGGCCCGAACACGAACGTGTTCGGGCGAACATCGAACACTGTTCGGCGAACAATTTAAGCAAAAAAAACAAACCTGTTCGGTTCGCCTCGAACGTGTTCGAGGCGAACCGAACAGGTGTTCGCCCTTGTGCTCATGTCTACTCCACCGTCCTCCCAAGTGCCTGTCATGCCGCCCCATGCCTTCACCAGGCTATCCAGCTACATGGAGGTGAACCTTGTGTAAAAAGACAACTTTTGTCAAAAGTTCTCAAAATTTCTCTTAAGTTCTCAAAAGTTCTCAAAAGTTCTCTTTTTACGCCAGGCTGTCCAGCTACATGGAGATGCACCTTGCCTTCATGAGTCTTTGTGATTGTCAAGAGCTTTTGCTTGGTGAGAGTGGTGAGTGAAAGCAGCAAAAGATCAAGCAAGCACAAAAGATCAGGCAAGCACAAAAGATCAAGCAAGCACAAAAGATCAAGCAAGCACAAAAGATCAAGCAAGCACAAAAGATCAAGCAAGCACAAAAGATCAAGCAAGCACAAAAGATCAAGCAAGCACAAAAGATCAAGCAAGCACAAAAGATCAAGCAAGCACAAAAGATCAAGCAAGCACAAAAGATCAAGCAAGCACAAAAGATCAAGCAAGCACAAAAGATCAAGCAAGCAGCAAAAGATCAAGCAAGCACAAAAGATCAAGCAAGCAGCAAAAGATCAAGCAAGCAGCAAAAGATCAAGCAAGCACAAAAGATCAAGCAAGCAGCAAAAGATCAAGCAAGCACAAAAGATCAAGCAAGCACGAAAGATCAAGCAAGCAGCAAAAGATCAAGCAAGCACAAAAGATCAAGCAAGCAGCAAAAGATCAAGCAAGCACAAAAGATCAAGCAAGCACAAAAGATCAAGCAAGCACAAAAGATCAAGCAAGCAGCAAAAGATCAAGCAAGCAGCAAAAGATCAAGCAAGCACAAAAGATCAAGCAAGCAGCAAAAGATCAAGCAAGCACAAAAGATCAAGCAAGCACGAAAGATCAAGCAAGCAGCAAAAGATCAAGCAAGCACAAAAGATCAAGCAAGCAGCAAAAGATCAAGCAAGCACAAAAGATCAAGCAAGCACAAAAGATCAAGCAAGCACAAAAGATCAAGCAAGCACGAAAGATCAAGCAAGCAGCAAAAGATCAAGCAAGCACAAAAGATCAAGCAAGCAGCAAAAGATCAAGCAAGCACAAAAGATCAAGCAAGCACAAAAGATCAAGCAAGCACAAAAGATCAAGCAAGCACAAAAGATCAAGCAAGCACAAAAGATCAAGCAAGCACAAAAGATCAAGCAAGCACAAAAGATCAAGCAAGCACAAAAGATCAAGCAAGCACAAAAGATCAAGCAAGCACAAAAGATCAAGCAAGCACAAAAGATCAAGCAAGCACAAAAGATCAAGCAAGCACAAAAGATCAAGCAAGCACAAAAGATCAAGCAAGCACAAAAGATCAAGCAAGCACAAAAGATCAAGCAAGCACAAAAGATCAAGCAAGCACAAAAGATCAAGCAAGCACAAAAGATCAAGCAAGCACAAAAGATCAAGCAAGCACAAAAGATCAAGCAAGCACAAAAGATCAAGCAAGCACAAAAGATCAAGCAAGCAGCAAAAGATCAAGCAAGCAGCAAAAGATCAAGCAAGCACGAAAGATCAAGCAAGCAGCAAAGATCAAGCAAGCACAAAGATCAAGCAAGCAGCAAAAGATCAAGCAAGCACAAAAGATCAAGCAAGCACAAAAGATCAAGCAAGCACAAAAGATCAAGCAAGCACAAAAGATCAAGCAAGCACAAAAGATCAAGCAAGCACAAAAGATCAAGCAAGCACAAAAGATCAAGCAAGCACAAAAGATCAAGCAAGCACAAAAGATCAAGCAAGCACAAAAGATCAAGCAAGCACAAAGATCAAGCAAGCACAAAAGATCAAGCAAGCACAAAACATCAAGCAAGCACAAAACATCAAGCAAGCACAAAAGATCAAGCAAGCAGCAAAAGATCAAGCAAGCAGCAAAAGATCAAGCAAGCAGCAAAAGATCAAGCAAGCACGAAAGATCAAGCAAGCAGCAAAAGATCAAGCAAGCACAAAAGATCAAGCAAGCAGCAAAAGATCAAGCAAGCACAAAAGATCAAGCAAGCACAAAAGATCAAGCAAGCACAAAAGATCAAGCAAGCACAAAAGATCAAGCAAGCAGCAAAAGATCAAGCAAGCACAAAAGATCAAGCAAGCACAAAAGATCAAGCAAGCACAAAAGATCAAGCAAGCACAAAAGATCAAGCAAGCACAAAAGATCAAGCAAGCACAAAAGATCAAGCAAGCACAAAAGATCAAGCAAGCACAAAAGATCAAGCAAGCACAAAAGATCAAGCAAGCACAAAAGATCAAGCAAGCACAAAAGATCAAGCAAGCACAAAAGATCAAGCAAGCACAAAAGATCAAGCAAGCACAAAAGATCAAGCAAGCACAAATGATCAAGCAAGCACAAAAGATCAAGCAAGCAGCAAAAGATCAAGCAAGCAGCAAAAGATCAAGCAAGCACGAAAGATCAAGCAAGCAGCAAAAGATCAAGCAAGCACAAAAGATCAAGCAAGCACAAAAGATCAAGCAAGCACAAAAGATCAAGCAAGCACAAAAGATCAAGCAAGCACAAAAGATCAAGCAAGCACAAAAGATCAAGCAAGCACAAAAGATCAAGCAAGCACAAAAGATCAAGCAAGCACAAAAGATCAAGCAAGCACAAAAGATCAAGCAAGCACAAAAGATCAAGCAAGCGCAAAAGATCAAGCAAGCAGCAAAAGATCAAGCAAGCAGCAAAAGATCAAGCAAGCACAAAAGATCAAGCAAGCACAAAAGATCAAGCAAACACAAAAGATCAAGCAAGCACGAAAGATCAAGCAAGCAGCAAAATATCAAGCAAGCACAAAAGATCAAGCAAGCAGCAAAAGATCAAGCAAGCACAAAAGATCAAGCAAGCACAAAAGATCAAGCAAGCACAAAAGATCAAGCAAGCACAAAAGATCAAGCAAGCACAAAAGATCAAGCAAGCACAAAAGATCAAGCAAGCACAAAAGATCAAGCAAGCACAAAAGATCAAGCAAGCACAAAAGATCAAGCAAGCACAAAAGATCAAGCAAGCACAAAAGATCAAGCAAGCACAAAAGATCAAGCAAGCACAAAAGATCAAGCAAGCACAAAAGATCAAGCAAGCACAAAAGATCAAGCAAGCACAAAAGATCAAGCAAGCACAAAAGATCAAGCAAGCACAAAAGATCAAGCAAGCACAAAAGATCAAGCAAGCACAAAAGATCAAGCAAGCAGAAAAGATCAAGCAAGCACAAAAGATCAAGCAAGCAGCAAAAGATCAAGCAAGCAGCAAAAGATCAAGCAAGCACAAAAGATCAAGCAAGCACAAAAGATCAAGCAAGCACAAAAGATCAAGCAAACAGCAAAAGATCAAGCAAGCAGCAAAAGATCAAGCAAGCACGAAAGATCAAGCAAGCAGCAAAAGATCAAGCAAGCACAAAAGATCAAGCAAGCAGCAAAAGATCAAGCAAGCACAAAAGATCAAGCAAGCACAAAAGATCAAGCAAGCACAAAAGATCAAGCAAGCACAAAAGATCAAGCAAGCAGCAAAAGATCAAGCAAGCACAAAAGATCAAGCAAGCACAAAAGATCAAGCAAGCACAAAAGATCAAGCAAGCACAAAAGATCAAGCAAGCACAAAAGATCAAGCAAGCACAAAAGATCAAGCAAGCACAAAAGATCAAGCAAGCACAAAAGATCAAGCAAGCACAAAAGATCAAGCAAGCACAAAAGATCAAGCAAGCACAAAAGATCAAGCAAGCACAAAAGATCAAGCAAGCACAA